TTTTTTTTTTTTTTTTTTTTTTTTTTTTTTTGCTTATTACGATGTATTTTTTTTTAATTTTTTTGTATTTTTTCAAGCTACAGTTGGAATGTTAACTTTGAACAGCATTTCCTGTTCTTTCATGGAACACTTTTGCAAATGCAGTCATATTGCTCCTATTTAAAACTATAATGTTGCGCTATTGCAAAACGTAAAAAGTTTAAAAATATAAAATAAAATATAAAAATAAAAATAAGACATCATAAAAGCCATAAAGTCATAAGACAGGCTTTAAAACTATTCACCAACAAATACGTTCAACGTTTTCACAGTTTAAAACACTTTAACAAGACTCCATAAGGCATCACAATAAACGCTCATTGATAAATCGGCAGTAAAACTGCTATTGAAATAAAACTTTAGCTTCCACATGAGATATATATTTAGTTTTCAAATACTTTTCATAATTTTTAGCAGTTTAGTTTAGCTTAATTTTTTTCCCTTTTCTTTCTTTTTTAATTTTGGTTGAATATTTTATTTTTTAAATTTTTATAATTAATGTTTTGATCACTGAGGTTGTTTTATACTTCAGAGTATAGAAGCAGTTACGTCAACGACTTTTCAGTAATTTTAAATAATTTCTAGCAGTGCTTTTAAAGACTTTACAAACAATGAATATGTTAACAAAAGTGAAAAAACGACAATTAAATATTTTAAAGTAATGTTGCTGTTTTTCATCTCCAGTAGTCATTAAAAATCTGAACGTAATTGCTAAAAGTTACTGTGCAGATTTGAATTTATTTCTACAAATATCTGACGGCAAACTCGAGTCACAGCATATATCTTAAAGAATGAGAACTGATGAGAAATATTTCTTTAAAACATCCGAAAGACTAAATTAAGTAAATGACTTGCCAAATAGTCGTTCATTACGTCTTTTGAAATAATAGCTATAACCTGAATCGAAAAATACAGATCCAAGACAACACTTCAAAACTTTATTTTCGACAGTAAACTCCAACTATTTCAGAGTAGTGTACTTTTTTTTGAAAGTTACGGCACTAGAATCCGCTAAACTGCCAGAGAAAAATTTGCTTCGAAGGATGCAATGCTTACAAAGGTACTGTAACAGAGAATATAATTTTAGACTGAAGAAACAAAAGATGAAAAGGTTTATATGCCACAGACAGTTGCCGACTTTAGTGTTTTATTTCACTTTCAATGCCGTAAACTGTGATCTCATAACAGTAATTTTTGAAGTAAATTCTTTCGCAAGCTTTTGAAAGGCATTTAACTGTTCAAAGTTTCCTTGCCAATTATAAAATTATCAAAATTTGTAAATCATTTTTATTGGTAACTGCAGAATAATCTTGGTAAGGGCAATCAAAGAAGTACAAATTTAACAAATTCTTGAAAACCAACTATTTCAACCAAAATTGACACTTCTCTTGCTATAAAATTATCATAATTTTAATTCTATTCTCTTACAAAGTATTCTTCTTTTTACGAAAGAAATGCTTATTGTTAAAGATTTGTGAAATTTTGAAGTTCAAACATTCCTCGGAAAATAACATCTAAGTGTATTTTACAATCTAAGGACTTGTTCGTTCAGACACACTGATAACTTCCTAAAAATGCCAAACTAATTTTCGAACTTTTTTCTTTTTGTCTATCTGCTGCTAAAGGTCCCAACCACTTTAATCCTTATTCTCGCCTCTTTTTCGCCTCTTGACTGTACGCTCTTTAGAGGCGATCAATTACTGATTAAATTTTTTTTGGCTATAAAATGACTCAGTTCAGTTTTTTAAGTGTTACGTCAGAATTCAAACACCATATTAAACTAAACTCATTCAACGTTTCCTAAAAAATCAATTATTTATTAAAATACGTTTATTGTTTTTTAATAAGTAAACAGTCTTTTTTTGCATCATTGCTAAAGCCAAAAAAATAAAGAGTTTTGTAATGCTGATTGTATAAAGCAAGATAAAATTACAATTTTTTTGATTAATATTAATCACAAATTCTGTGCTGCAGAAGAATAATCAACTTATAAATGAAGCAATTCCTTTTTGTCAGTGAATTTCTCCTTTTACCTCAATAACAATTACTTTTTGAGAAAATCTGAGCAGATCAGCAACATAACTTTGACAGCGAGTCAAGTCAAGTCAAAAGTCAAAAGTCAAGTAATTGACTTTTTACGTTGCACAAATCATACATGACATTGTATTTTGCTTTCTATTCTCAAATTGTAAACTACAACGTTTTGTTTAAACCATTATCTACAAATAGTTTTGGTTGAAATAATTTCTATATTATTTTCTTTCACAACTGTTTGTTTTAGACGGGAGAACAGTTAACTAGAATAGTGTTTTGTCGCAAATTCGACAGCCTTTTGAAGTTAGTATTGGTGAGCTATTTGTGTTGGAAGCTTGAAATTACGTATTTGAAAATCATCAACAAAGCTTTCTCTAACTGGATAAAGTTTCATGAACACATATCATAGTTAAGTTTGACTAATTTTTTCGTTACATTACTGTCAACTTTCAAGTGCGAGCAGAAGCTTTAGTTAACGGACTTACCGTGAAAAATGATAAGACGCTGAAATGTTAAGCAGCTGTAAAGTTCAAGTTTAAACCAGTATTAGAATTAACAACAGTGACCTTGAAGAAAGATCAATCGAAAATGACGAGAAAGTGATTTAGACTATTGAGTCTATTATTGTGAGCAAAGTCTCGTATGGGGTAAAGCTGCGAAATTTTCTCTTAAAAATTCTTTGAACTTCCTTGTGCCGTAAAAGTGTCTTTTCTTCAATCTCTGTGATAGGATTTTACTCATTAGCGAAACTTTCACTCGTTAGGGCTAATTTCGCTGACTGAAGAAGTTTCATCTATCTGCAGATCCGCTGTTGAAACATCAGTTGCTGGAGCTACGCGATTACTTTTTGTTGCTGTTGACAACGATGTACGACAGCTGCAGTTTATCTTTTTTTACCGTATTTTTCGCCCTAACTGTTTTTTATCTTTTGCTACCTCCCCTTGTGGCTTTGTGCTAATTATGACACTGCCGAATCAGTAAACAAACTTTTCTTCTTTCCTTTTTTTCTTATCATTCCCCTGAGTTGATACATACGGAAGGAGAACAGATGCGAGGCATAAAAACAATTCGTTCCTAAATTTTGCCTTGAAAATGTTTTCAACTCAAATTTTAAAAAATCAAAACCATTTTCTTGCAAAATTTTTATAGCTTCTGGATATCTCACCTATCGTCTATTGAGCATTATTTTATGACCATTCTTTAATGAAATATTGAACTTTAAAATTTAGGATAGGAAGAGAGTTCTATTATAAAAATTGAACTTTCTGTTCGTCTTACTGCTGTAGTCTCAAAGTCCATTTTTAATAAATGCCTCTTTCTTGTCTTTGTCCTCGCCAAAATCTTTACCAACTTTGGTGAAACCACGCAACGAGGATAACATCTGTGTCATTTTTAATGGCTTCCGTATAACTGTTTCTCAAACATTTGCAGCACCAATTGTGTTGCTGAATTTTATCCTTAAATCACACCTCGAAAAGGCAGTGGCCGGAAAACGCCAGCAAGTAGTTTAAAGTATTATGGGTTTGTGAGTTTTAGGAAATTCTTTCTTTGTTTCATAGAGCAGTTTCTGTCTTTTTTCCTAGTGTCGTTCTTTACAATCTTTAATGAGCAATATAAGTTACTCAATATTCTGGTGCCACAAGAAGGTTTATCACAGCTACCGATGGGCATAAATAAGATTCTGTTTTAAATAATTGGAGTTCTTTGGAAAGGCAGCAGCTGCACTTCCTGTACTGTGTGTTACTGAGGGTGTTGGCGTTCACTGTAGTGCAACACAATCTGGCGCCGTCAAAAAAGTACTGAAATGAAGAAAGGCAAAACTTATTATTGTTTTTCTACAGTTTTATATTTTTTTATTATTTTTACATACCGGCTTAATAACTGCACAAAACAGGCATTATGCCGCAGTCCTCACATAAATTGATCACTATCCATGAAGCAGTAGACGGCAGCTATTTCATAGGAAGCCTAAAGTGAAAATGTCACTATTTACTTCTTCTATTTTGTACTTTTAGGAGTAAATAGATTAGGTACAAACAATTTATCAAAAAATATCATATTTTTGAGATTATTAGACGGTGTCAAGCATAAAAAAAAAAAAACCTCATCGTGAAGTGCTTGGATTTTCTGGCGACCTTCTTCTCTAAAGTCTATATTTTCGTACTGCATTGTGAATCTGTCGGCTGGAGTTCTGTAGTAGGGGGACATTACAGACAGGATATCCTTATGATGGCCCAAACTAAGAGTATGACCAATTTCATGTTCTGCAATTACATAAATGTCGACATAACCTTGCATGAAACAAAAAGAGTTTGGGGACGTATTTCTTTGTTTTTACTTCACAAGGTAATTTAATTCCAATAAGTGAAAAACTTATAAACCAATTTACCTTTTAGACACTCTGCTTTGAAACATAGATCAAGTCTAAACTGTAAAAATTCGAACAGATGTGAGCAGTTTTGAAGTGTTAATTACAGGTTTTTTGGAAATCCAGGTTTTTTATCTTCTTTGATAGTGATGGATGAGGGACTACACAATCTAGCTGATTGCAAATAAACTTCATTTTATAGTATTTTTGTAAATTGTCTATCTATTATAATTACTTAATTGTAGTACATAAGCATGTAGCTAACAGCTTTTAGCACTACATTAAATACTTTTTTTTGTCACATGTTTTACATTAATCTATAAAAAATTAGTGAAAATTTTTTATTGATTGAGATTTTTTGATGTTTTCACAGTTCGTAGACAAAAAAGAATATTGCTATGATTTAGGAACTGTTGTCTAGACTCTCTCTTAATCACAGTTTAAAGAATCGGCTAATTCTTGACTCGAAGCAATGCGCAGTTTTATCACAATGTATTGGAAATAAAACGGGTATCCCGGATTAACAAAAAACACAAATTTGGTGGATAATAAACTGATTTATCAGCAGCATATTCGACAATAACGACGCCTTTTTTGAAAGAGGTTAAACCTTAGGTGCAATTCCTCTAGCTTCATTGAACCCTTAAAAATGTAAAAAAAAATTTCTGACGTTCTAGTATTTAGAATGAGTACAGCAGCTAGAGCTGTGATGGTTTAAAACAACTGCGAAGTTTTTCAAAGCATTACCAGCTTTTGCAAATCGGTAGCTTCTGTTATTCACTTCTCCAGTATTTCTTGTTCAAATAACGAAAGAAAAGCTGTAGCTTTAGGTAGAACTCTTCCGGGTTTTTTCTTTGCTTTCTTGTTTTTCTACACCTTTGCACAAAGTCCCGCACGTTTCCGTACGGTGTTTTACCAAACTTGAATTTTTTTCTGCATTCATACACTTGAACACTGTTATACCTAAGCCGTAAGTTTCCAATGTAAATTCATTTCTGATCTCACAGTTTCACAAGGCTTATGAAGAATTTTTAGGGTTTATAGAAAAAACCCAACAGACAAAAGTGTCCTGAAAATAAAGCTGAAACTGCAAGCATTCGTTCCTTTTCATTTCTGAACTCAGTTCGCAAGTCAGCGGTTAGCAAAACAGAACTTTCAGAGAAAGCTTTAAGAATACCTTTAAAAAAAAGTGCTGACTTTGTTTGCTAGCCTGTTATAGACTCAAAACTAACAGTTTCCGATCTAATATCGAGCAACTTCAGTGGAAGAGAATTAACTAGATAAACAACAATTGCAGACAAAAAGATGATCAGACATCAGCAGAAAAATTTGTACTTTTTTATTATCTGTCAATCCAAAAAAATCAAAAAAAAATAGTAAAAAAAATAAGAAAAGCTTACCTACCGCTTCAATAGCATCACTTTAGACATGTGCAAGGAAATGGAAAAAAATAAATCGCTCTTCTCTTCGCTACTCACATTTACGACTGAAGGTCATTACGAAGAACAGTAAAAAAAAACGGAACTGAACATAAAAACAATACAGAATAAACCGCAGAAAAGGAAAATAAATATTTATTCTCTGAAAATTACTCAGCTTTAAGAGAGTCAAACAACTGCACCTGTTGCTATAGTCGACAAATTATGACACAATACTGGCACGGTAGTACAGTATTTGTATCATGCCTAATTAAAAAAGGATGTTGAAATGGTACTTTTAAGATCTATAAGTTCACATCGAACAACAGCTTGTTGATGTCATCAGCACTCCCAATCATTATTTAAAAGCTG